TCCTACTGCAAAGGGGAAGCCATGAACCCTTCCACCCTCTCTCCTCCTAGCTCAATCAACGCCCCACCTGCTGGTGGATCTGCTGGAACCCAGTGATCGGTCATGAGAACGCCCGTGACTGTGTTGGGAATTGGGCCAGGCAAAGATTTTAGATCCTTTACAACCTATGCGGTATCTCAGCCTTGCGTATTACAAGCATGGATCTGGGCCCTGATGCAAAATGTACAGGTTCATACCTGCAAAAAAAAAGAAGAAGATATAGCCCTGATGGGGTTGGATGTATGGTGGAATGAAGGTATTTGGGGGTTGGGGCATGCCCTCCTACAGTAGCCCATCACATGGATGGAAGAATCTGAACCACACCAGATGCATTATGACATTGAAGATACTCAGGGAGGAGTGATCTGGTAATACCTGTGCAGATCACAACCCATCAGCCTCAAGGAAACTCTTTCCCTCCCAGGGGCGAGATCAAGGTGTAGCCCAGGTGCAAGCCAGGTTCAAGTTCTCCCTCACCCTAAAACCCCCAGGGGATTTTGCATTATTCGCCTTCAGCCCAACCAACCTTGCAGGGTTATTACTGTGGATAAATCAAGCTACTGTACAATCAATCAATCAATCAATCAATCCATCAATGGCTCTGCCTCAACACAGCGAAGTTGCGCAGTGCACTGAGTCACGGAAGAACCCTGATGCGCTTGTGCACAGACTTATAAACAAATTTCATTTTGGGAGTTACATCCACGTGCCTGTTATAAACACGGGGATACTTTACTTCTTCATTTTATGCCGAATTTGCATTTTTACAGTTGCAAAAAAGGAGGATACTTCAGGGCTGGAAGGTACCCTTTTATCCTCCAGTATATAGTGGTCTGAAGAACCACTCTTGTATTATCTTGTTAACCATTTTTGCTACCTGGAGCTCCAGCTGAAGGATTGCTTCGATATTTGGACTGCAAGCATTAGTTTACGTGCCTCCTTTCCATTTCCCCCCCCTACTGTTAAGCAAAATGACAGAGGTTAATTTAATTGCGTAACATGACATGAATAGATATGAAATATTAGTTTTTACTGGAATGCAAGGTATGCATACTTTTGTGAGGGGGGGTTCATATAATATAAAAAATGTAAAAATAACACAGAGACTATGTGTAACCGAACTACAAATCTTGAACAAAAGAACTGCCATATCATGGAGGGATTGGAACCGTGTTTC